TCCATCACCTGTCCTTCTCTGTGTACACCATCAAATAGGGCTTGGAGGTAGAGAAAGGTGACATGAAGGGGTAACATGACTCCCAGTCAGAATTTCTCATCCCTTTTTTTCTTTTCTTTCTTGTTTTTTCCTCCGGCAGATTGAGGTCCTCTTTGCATGCAATCTCATTCATTTGACCTCCTCCTTTGTAGGATGGAAGGCTGACAGTTTGTCAGCTGACCTGGGCTGGAGAGCGGGATGATCTCCTAGCCCCCGGTCTTTGTGGGCTTAAAATCAGCTGCTGGAGCAAATGAATAATGTCCCCGTCGGGGAATCGAACCCGGTCTTCCGCGTGACAGGCGGAGATACTGTCCACTATAGGAACGAGGACTCACGTGTTGCCACTTTCAGCGCGTGGAGCGTGGACATCGCTGAGTTCCCCGCTTGGAATGAACAGCCGCAACCATGGCAGGGCGCACGGAAATGATGTCGAAGAGAGAGCTACAGTCGCAGCTGCAGCTTGCGGACTCCGTCCTATGGACAGATAGCACGGCTGTTCTTAAGAACATCAACAATGAAACAACTAGGTTCCGCACATTCGTTGCCAACAGAGTGTCAGAAATAATGACAGTGTCAATCGTGGCAACAGATGACAGACAAGATGCAATGGAGCAACTTATAGAGCACTACTTCCCATGGACACTCCGTTTCATTGCAAGAAGAAGTCAAGTTATGGAACTGCGTTCAGAACCCACGACAATCGAAAAACTGTTTGTTAGCATCTGAAATCTTGGCATTTGGAAAGCAGGTGATTTGGGCGCTGCGTACCCATCCCGCATGTCCCGTGAGTTTCCGTAGTGTAGTGGTTATCACGTTCGCCTAACACGCGAAAGGTCCCCGGTTCGAAACCGGGCGGAAACAGCTTGATGTCCCCTCCTGTTCGACTCAGACGCTCAATGGTGGCGCACTTAAACCCGCCTTAATACTGAGTTCAAGGAGCTGATAGAAATTTTGTTATCAGAGGCCCTCCCATAACATACTTATAACATTCCCAAATACCATTTTAGCAGGCCCGGCTTAAAGGCAAGGAATCCATCACCTGTCCTTCTCTGTGTACACCATCAAATAGGGCTTGGAGGTAGAGAAAGGTGACATGAAGGGGTAACATGACTCCCAGTCAGAATTTCTCATCCCTTTTTTTCTTTTCTTTCTTGTTTTTTCCTCCGGCAGATTGAGGTCCTCTTTGCATGCAATCTCATTCATTTGACCTCCTCCTTTGTAGGATGGAAGGCTGACAGTTTGTCAGCTGACCTGGGCTGGAGAGCGGGATGATCTCCTAGCCCCCGGTCTTTGTGGGCTTAAAATCAGCTGCTGGAGCAAAGGAATAATCTCCCCGTCGGGGAATCGAACCCCGGTCTTCCGCGTGACAGGCGGAGATACTGTCCACTATACTAACGAGGACTCACTTTCAGCGCGTGGAGCGCGGACATCGCTGAGTTCCCCGCTTGGAATGAACAGCCGCAACCATGGCAGGGCGCACGGAAATGATGTCGAAGAGAGAGCTACAGTCGCAGCTGCAGCTTGCGGACTCCGTCCTATGGACAGATAGCACGGCTGTTCTTAAGAACATCAACAATGAAACAACTAGGTTCCGCACATTCGTTGCCAACAGAGTGTCAGAAATAATGACAGTGTCAATCGTGGCAACAGATGACAGACAAGATGCAATGGAGCAACTTATAGAGCACTACTTCCCATGGACACCCCGTTTCATTGCAAGAAGAAGTCAAGTTATGGAACTGCGTTCAGAACCCACGACAATCGAAAAACTGTTTGTTAGCATCTGAAATCTTGGCATTTGGAAAGCAGGTGATTTGGGCGCTGCGTACCCATCCCGCATGTCCCGTGAGTTTCCGTAGTGTAGTGGTTATCACGTTCGCCTCACACGCGAAAGGTCCCCGGTTCGAAACCGGGCGGAAACAGCTTGATGTCCCCTCCTGTTCGACTCAGACGCTCAATGGTGGCTCACTTAAACCCGCCTTAATACTGAGTTCAAGGAGCTGATAGAAATTTTGTTATCAGAGGCCCTCCCATAACATACTAATAACATTCCCAAATACCATTTTAGCAGGCCCGGCTTAAAGGCAAGGAATCCATCACCTGTCCTTCTCTGTGTACACCATCAAATAGGGCTTGGAGGTAGAGAAAGGTGACATGAAGGGGTAACATGACTCCCAGTCAGAATTTCTCATCCCTTTTTTTCTTTTCTTTCTTGTTTTTTCCTCCGGCAGATTGAGGTCCTCTTTGCATGCAATCTCATTCATTTGACCTCCTCCTTTGTAGGATGGAAGGCTGACAGTTTGTCAGCTGACCTGGGCTGGAGAGCGGGATGATCTCCTAGCCCCCGGTCTTTGTGGGCTTAAAATCAGCTGCTGGAGCAAAGGAATAATCTCACCGTCGGGGAATCGAACCCCGGTCTTCCGCGTGACAGGCGGAGATACTGTCCACTATACTAACGAGGACTCACTTTCAGCGCTTGGAGCGCGGACATCGCTGAGTTCCCCGCTTGGAATGAACAGCCGCAACCATGGCAGGGCGCACGGAAATGATGTCGAAGAGAGAGCTACAGTCGCAGCTGCAGCTTGCGGACTCCGTCCTATGGACAGATAGCACGGCTGTTCTTAAGAACATCAACAATGAAACAACTAGGTTCCGCACATTCGTTGCCAACAGAGTGTCAGAAATAATGACAGTGTCAATCGTGGCAACAGATGACAGACAAGATGCAATGGAGCAACTTATAGAGCACTACTTCCCATGGACACTCCGTTTCATTGCAAGAAGAAGTCAAGTTATGGAACTGCGTTCAGAACCCACGACAATCGAAAAACTGTTTGTTAGCATCTGAAATCTTTGCATTTGGAAAGCAGGTGAGTTGGGCACTGCGTACCCTTCCCGCATGTCCCGTGAGTTTCCGTAGTGTAGTTGTTATCACGTTCGCCTAACACGCGAAAGGTCCCCGGTTCGAAACCGGGCGGAAACAGCTTGACGTCCCCTCCTGTTCGACTCAGACGCTCAATGGTGGCTCACTTAAACCCGCCTTAATACTGAGTTCAAGGAGCTGATAGAAATTTTGTTATCAGAGGCCCTCCCATAACATACTAATAACATTCCCAAATACCATTTTAGCAGGCCCGGCTTAAAGGCAAGGAATCCATCACCTGTCCTTCTCTGTGTACACCATCAAATAGGGCTTGGAGGTAGAGAAAGGTGACATGAAGGGGTAACATGACTCCCAGTCAGAATTTCTCATCCCTTTTTTTCTTTTCTTTCTTGTTTTTTCCTCCGGCAGATTGAGGTCCTCTTTGCATGCAATCTCATTCATTTGACCTCCTCCTTTGTAGGATGGAAGGCTGACAGTTTGTCAGCTGACCTGGGCTGGAGAGCGGGATGATCTCCTAGCCCCCGGTCTTTGTGGGCTTAAAATCAGCTGCTGGAGCAAAGGAATAATCTCCCCGTCGGGGAATCGAACCCCGGTCTTCCGCGTGACAGGCGGAGATACTGTCCACTATACTAACGAGGACTCACTTTCAGCGCTTGGAGCGCGGACATCGCTGAGTTCCCCGCTTGGAATGAACAGCCGCAACCATGGCAGGGCGCACGGAAATGATGTCGAAGAGAGAGCTACAGTCGCAGCTGCAGCTTGCGGACTCCGTCCTATGGACAGATAGCACGGCTGTTCTTAAGAACATCAACAATGAAACAACTAGGTTCCGCACATTCGTTGCCAACAGAGTGTCAGAAATAATGACAGTGTCAATCGTGGCAACAGATGACAGACAAGATGCAATGGAGCAACTTATAGAGCACTACTTCCCATGGACACCCCGTTTCATTGCAAGAAGAAGTCAAGTTATGGAACTGCGTTCAGAACCCACGACAATCGAAAAACTGTTTGTTAGCATCTGAAATCTTTGCATTTGGAAAGCAGGTGAGTTGGGCACTGCGTACCCTTCCCGCATGTCCCGTGAGTTTCCGTAGTGTAGTGGTTATCACGTTCGCCTAACACGCGAAAGGTCCCCGGTTCGAAACCGGGGGGAAACAGCTTGACGTCCCCTCCTGTTCGACTCAGACGCTCAATGGTGGCTCACTTAAACCCGCCTTAATACTGAGTTCAAGGAGCTGATAGAAATTTTGTTATCAGAGGCCCTCCCATAACATACTAATAACATTCCCAAATACCATTTTAGCAGGCCCGGCTTAAAGGCAAGGAATCCATCACCTGTCCTTCTCTGTGTACACCATCAAAAAGGGCTTGGAGGTAGAGAAAGGTGACATGAAGGGGTAACATGACTCCCAGTCAGAATTTCTCATCCCTTTTTTTCTTTTCTTTCTTGTTTTTTCCTCCGGCAGATTGAGGTCCTCTTTGCATGCAATCTCATTCATTTGACCTCCTCCTTTGTAGGATGGAAGGCTGACAGTTTGTCAGCTGACCTGGGCTGGAGAGCGGGATGATCTCCTAGCCCCCGGTCTTTGTGGGCTTAAAATCAGCTGCTGGAGCAAATGAATAATGTCCCCGTCGGGGAATCGAACCCGGTCTTCCGCGTGACAGGCGGAGATACTGTCCACTATAGGAACGAGGACTCACGTGTTGCCACTTTCAGCGCGTGGAGCGTGGACATCGCTGAGTTCCCCGCTTGGAATGAACAGCCGCAACCATGGCAGGGCGCACGGAAATGATGTCGAAGAGAGAGCTACAGTCGCAGCTGCAGCTTGCGGACTCCGTCCTATGGACAGATAGCACGGCTGTTCTTAAGAACATCAACAATGAAACAACTAGGTTCCGCACATTCGTTGCCAACAGAGTGTCAGAAATAATGACAGTGTCAATCGTGGCAACAGATGACAGACAAGATGCAATGGAGCAACTTATAGAGCACTACTTCCCATGGACACTCCGTTTCATTGCAAGAAGAAGTCAAGTTATGGAACTGCGTTCAGAACCCACGACAATCGAAAAACTGTTTGTTAGCATCTGAAATCTTGGCATTTGGAAAGCAGGTGATTTGGGCGCTGCGTACCCATCCCCCATGTCCCGTGAGTTTCCGTAGTGTAGTGGTTATCACGTTCGCCTAACACGCGAAAGGTCCCCGGTTCGAAACCGGGCGGAAACAGCTTGATGTCCCCTCCTGTTCGACTCAGACGCTCAATGGTGGCGCACTTAAACCCGCCTTAATACTGAGTTCAAGGAGCTGATAGAAATTTTGTTATCAGAGGCCCTCCCATAACATACTTATAACATTCCCAAATACCATTTTAGCAGGCCCGGCTTAAAGGCAAGGAATCCATCACCTGTCCTTCTCTGTGTACACCATCAAATAGGGCTTGGAGGTAGAGAAAGGTGACATGAAGGGGTAACATGACTCCCAGTCAGAATTTCTCATCCCTTTTTTTCTTTTCTTTCTTGTTTTTTCCTCCGGCAGATTGAGGTCCTCTTTGCATGCAATCTCATTCATTTGACCTCCTCCTTTGTAGGATGGAAGGCTGACAGTTTGTCAGCTGACCTGGGCTGGAGAGCGGGATGATCTCCTAGCCCCCGGTCTTTGTGGGCTTAAAATCAGCTGCTGGAGCAAAGGAATAATCTCCCCGTCGGGGAATCGAACCCCGGTCTTCCGCGTGACAGGCGGAGATACTGTCCACTATACTAACGAGGACTCACTTTCAGCGCGTGGAGCGCGGACATCGCTGAGTTCCCCGCTTGGAATGAACAGCCGCAACCATGGCAGGGCGCACGGAAATGATGTCGAAGAGAGAGCTACAGTCGCAGCTGCAGCTTGCGGACTCCGTCCTATGGACAGATAGCACGGCTGTTCTTAAGAACATCAACAATGAAACAACTAGGTTCCGCACATTCGTTGCCAACAGAGTGTCAGAAATAATGACAGTGTCAATCGTGGCAACAGATGACAGACAAGATGCAATGGAGCAACTTATAGAGCACTACTTCCCATGGACACCCCGTTTCATTGCAAGAAGAAGTCAAGTTATGGAACTGCGTTCAGAACCCACGACAATCGAAAAACTGTTTGTTAGCATCTGAAATCTTGGCATTTGGAAAGCAGGTGATTTGGGCGCTGCGTACCCATCCCGCATGTCCCGTGAGTTTCCGTAGTGTAGTGGTTATCACGTTCGCCTCACACGCGAAAGGTCCCCGGTTCGAAACCGGGCGGAAACAGCTTGATGTCCCCTCCTGTTCGACTCAGACGCTCAATGGTGGCTCACTTAAACCCGCCTTAATACTGAGTTCAAGGAGCTGATAGAAATTTTGTTATCAGAGGCCCTCCCATAACATACTAATAACATTCCCAAATACCATTTTAGCAGGCCCGGCTTAAAGGCAAGGAATCCATCACCTGTCCTTCTCTGTGTACACCATCAAATAGGGCTTGGAGGTAGAGAAAGGTGACATGAAGGGGTAACATGACTCCCAGTCAGAATTTCTCATCCCTTTTTTTCTTTTCTTTCTTGTTTTTTCCTCCGGCAGATTGAGGTCCTCTTTGCATGCAATCTCATTCATTTGACCTCCTCCTTTGTAGGATGGAAGGCTGACAGTTTGTCAGCTGACCTGGGCTGGAGAGCGGGATGATCTCCTAGCCCCCGGTCTTTGTGGGCTTAAAATCAGCTGCTGGAGCAAAGGAATACTCTCCCCGTCGGGGAATCGAACCCCGGTCTTCCACGTGACAGGCGGAGATACTGTCCACTATACTAACGAGAACTCACGTGTTGCCACTTTCAGCGCGTGGAGCGCGGACATCGCTGAGTTCCCCGCTTGGAATGAACAGCCGCAACCATGGCAGGGCGCACGGAAATGATGTCGAAGAGAGATCTACAGTCGCAGCTGCAGCTTGCGGACTCCGTCCTATGGACAGATAGCACGGCTGTTCTTAAGAACATCAACAATGAAACAACTAGGTTCCGCACATTCGTTGCCAACAGAGTGTCAGAAATAATGACAGTGTCAATCGTGGCAACAGATGACAGACAAGATGCAATGGAGCAACTTATAGAGCACTACTTCCCATGGACACTCCGTTTCATTGCAAGAAGAAGTCAAGTTATGGAACTGCGTTCAGAACCCACGACAATCGAAAAACTGTTTGTTAGCATCTGAAATCTTGGCATTCGGAAAGCAGGTGATTTGGGCGCTGCGTACCCATCCCGCATGTCCCGTGAGTTTCCGTAGTGTAGTGGTTATCACGTTCGCCTAACACGCGAAAGGTCCCCGGTTCGAAACCGGGCGGAAACAGCTTGATGTCCCATCCTGTTCGACTCAGACGCTCAATGGTGGCGCACTTAAACCCGCCTTAATACTGAGTTCAAGGAGCTGATAGAAATTTTGTTATCAGAGGCCCTCCCATAACATACTTATAACATTCCCAAATACCATTTTAGCAGGCCCGGCTTAAAGGCAAGGAATCCATCACCTGTCCTTCTCTGTGTACACCATCAAATAGGGCTTGGAGGTAGAGAAAGGTGACATGAAGGGGTAACATGACTCCCAGTCAGAATTTCTCATCCCTTTTTTTCTTTTCTTTCTTGTTTTTTCCTCCGGCAGATTGAGGTCCTCTTTGCATGCAATCTCATTCATTTGACCTCCTCCTTTGTAGGATGGAAGGCTGACAGTTTGTCAGCTGACCTGGGCTGGAGAGCGGGATGATCTCCTAGCCCCCGGTCTTTGTGGGCTTAAAATCAGCTGCTGGAGCAAAGGAATAATCTCCCCGTCGGGGAATCGAACCCCGGTCTTCCGCGTGACAGGCGGAGATACTGTCCACTATACTAACGAGGACTCACTTTCAGCGCGTGGAGCGCGGACATCGCTGAGTTCCCCGCTTGGAATGAACAGCCGCAACCATGGCAGGGCGCACGGAAATGATGTCGAAGAGAGAGCTACAGTCGCAGCTGCAGCTTGCGGACTCCGTCCTATGGACAGATAGCACGGCTGTTCTTAAGAACATCAACAATGAAACAACTAGGTTCCGCACATTCGTTGCCAACAGAGTGTCAGAAATAATGACAGTGTCAATCGTGGCAACAGATGACAGACAAGATGCAATGGAGCAACTTATAGAGCACTACTTCCCATGGACACCCCGTTTCATTGCAAGAAGAAGTCAAGTTATGGAACTGCGTTCAGAACCCACGACAATCGAAAAACTGTTTGTTAGCATCTGAAATCTTGGCATTTGGAAAGCAGGTGATTTGGGCGCTGCGTACCCATCCCGCATGTCCCGTGAGTTTCCGTAGTGTAGTGGTTATCACATTCGCCTCACACGCGAAAGGTCCCCGGTTCGAAACCGGGCGGAAACAGCTTGATGTCCCCTCCTGTTCGACTCAGACGCTCAATGGTGGCTCACTTAAACCCGCCTTAATACTGAGTTCAAGGAGCTGATAGAAATTTTGTTATCAGAGGCCCTCCCATAACATACTAATAACATTCCCAAATACCATTTTAGCAGGCCCGGCTTAAAGGCAAGGAATCCATCACCTGTCCTTCTCTGTGTACACCATCAAATAGGGCTTGGAGGTAGAGAAAGGTGACATGAAGGGGTAACATGACTCCCAGTCAGAATTTCTCATCCCTTTTTTTCTTTTCTTTCTTGTTTTTTCCTCCGGCAGATTGAGGTCCTCTTTGCATGCAATCTCATTCATTTGACCTCCTCCTTTGTAGGATGGAAGGCTGACAGTTTGTCAGCTGACCTGGGCTGGAGAGCGGGATGATCTCCTAGCCCCCGGTCTTTGTGGGCTTAAAATCAGCTGCTGGAGCAAATGAATAATGTCCCCGTCGGGGAATCGAACCCGGTCTTCCGCGTGACAGGCGGAGATACTGTCCACTATAGTAACGAGGACTCACGTGTTGCCACTTTCAGCGCGTGGAGCGCGGACATCGCTGAGTTCCCCGCTTGGAATGAACAGCCGCAACCATGGAAGGGCGCACGGAAATGATGTCGAAGAGAGATCTACAGTCGCAGCTGCAGCTTGCGGACTCCGTCCTATGGACAGATAGCACGGCTGTTCTTAAGAACATCAACAATGAAACAACTAGGTTCCGCACATTCGTTGCCAACAGAGTGTCAGAAATAATGACAGTGTCAATCGTGGCAACAGATGACAGACAAGATGCAATGGAGCAACTTATAGAGCACTACTTCCCATGGACACTCCGTTTCATTGCAAGAAGAAGTCAAGTTATGGAACTGCGTTCAGAACCCACGACAATCGAAAAACTGTTTGTTAGCATCTGAAATCTTGGCATTTGGAAAGCAGGTGATTTGGGCGCTGCGTACCCATCCCGCATGTCCCGTGAGTTTCCGTAGTGTAGTGGTTATCACGTTCGCCTAACACGCGAAAGGTCCCCGGTTCGAAACCGGGCGGAAACAGCTTGATGTCCCATCCTGTTCGACTCAGACGCTCAATGGTGGCGCACTTAAACCCGCCTTAATACTGAGTTCAAGGAGCTGATAGAAATTTTGTTATCAGAGGCCCTCCCATAACATACTTATAACATTCCCAAATACCATTTTAGCAGGCCCGGCTTAAAGGCAAGGAATCCATCACCTGTCCTTCTCTGTGTACACCATCAAATAGGGCTTGGAGGTAGAGAAAGGTGACATGAAGGGGTAACATGACTCCCAGTCAGAATTTCTCATCCCTTTTTTTCTTTTCTTTCTTGTTTTTTCCTCCGGCAGATTGAGGTCCTCTTTGCATGCAATCTCATTCATTTGACCTCCTCCTTTGTAGGATGGAAGGCTGACAGTTTGTCAGCTGACCTGGGCTGGAGAGCGGGATGATCTCCTAGCCCCCGGTCTTTGTGGGCTTAAAATCAGCTGCTGGAGCAAAGGAATAATCTCCCCGTCGGGGAATCGAACCCCGGTCTTCCGCGTGACAGGCGGAGATACTGTCCACTATACTAACGAGGACTCACTTTCAGCGCGTGGAGCGCGGACATCGCTGAGTTCCCCGCTTGGAATGAACAGCCGCAACCATGGCAGGGCGCACGGAAATGATGTCGAAGAGAGAGCTACAGTCGCAGCTGCAGCTTGCGGACTCCGTCCTATGGACAGATAGCACGGCTGTTCTTAAGAACATCAACAATGAAACAACTAGGTTCCGCACATTCGTTGCCAACAGAGTGTCAGAAATAATGACAGTGTCAATCGTGGCAACAGATGACAGACAAGATGCAATGGAGCAACTTATAGAGCACTACTTCCCATGGACACTCCGTTTCATTGCAAGAAGAAGTCAAGTTATGGAACTGCGTTCAGAACCCACGACAATCGAAAAACTGTTTGTTAGCATCTGAAATCTTTGCATTTGGAAAGCAGGTGAGTTGGGCACTGCGTACCCTTCCCGCATGTCCCGTGAGTTTCCGTAGTGTAGTGGTTATCACGTTCGCCTAACACGCGAAAGGTCCCCGGTTCGAAACCGGGCGGAAACAGCTTGACGTCCCCTCCTGTTCGACTCAGACGCTCAATGGTGGCGCACTTAAACCCGCCTTAATACTGAGTTCAAGGAGCTGATAGAAATTTTGTTATCAGAGGCCCTCCCATAACATACTAATAACATTCCCAAATACCATTTTAGCAGGCCCGGCTTAAAGGCAAGGAATCCATCACCTGTCCTTCTCTGTGTACACCATCAAAAAGGGCTTGGAGGTAGAGAAAGGTGACATGAAGGGGTAACATGACTCCCAGTCAGAATTTCTCATCCCTTTTTTTCTTTTCTTTCTTGTTTTTTCCTCCGGCAGATTGAGGTCCTCTTTGCATGCAATCTCATTCATTTGACCTCCTCCTTTGTAGGATGGAAGGCTGACAGTTTGTCAGCTGACCTGGGCTGGAGAGCGGGATGATCTCCTAGCCCCCGGTCTTTGTGGGCTTAAAATCAGCTGCTGGAGCAAAGGAATAATCTCCCCGTCGGGGAATCGAACCCGGTCTTCCGCATGACAGGCGGAGATACTGTCCACTATAATAACGAGGACTCACGTGTTGCCACTTTCAACGCGTGGAGCGCGGACATCGCTGAGTTCCCCGCTTGGAATGAACAGCCGCAACCATGGCAGGGCGCACGGAAATGATGTCGAAGAGAGAGCTACAGTCGCAGCTGCAGCTTGCGGACTCCGTCCTATGGACAGATAGCACGGCTGTTCTTAAGAACATCAACAATGAAACAACTAGGTTCCGCACATTCGTTGCCAACAGAGTGTCAGAAATAATGACAGTGTCAATCGTGGCAACAGATGACAGACAAGATGCAATGGAGCAACTTATAGAGCACTACTTCCCATGGACACTCCGTTTCATTGCAAGAAGAAGTCAAGTTATGGAACTGCGTTCAGAACCCACGACAATCGAAAAACTGTTTGTTAGCATCTGAAATCTTTGCATTTGGAAAGCAGGTGATTTGGGCGCTGCGTACCCATCCCGCATGTCCCGTGAGTTTCCGTAGTGTAGTGGTTATCACGTTCGCCTAACACGCGAAAGGTCCCCGGTTCGAAACCGGGCGGAAACAGCTTGATGTCCCCTCCTGTTCGACTCAGACGCTCAATGGTGGCTCACTTAAACCCGCCTTAATACTGAGTTCAAGGAGCTGATAGAAATTTTGTTATCAGAGGCCCTCCCATAACATACTAATAACATTCCCAAATACCATTTTAGCAGGCCCGGCTTAAAGGCAAGGAATCCATCACCTGTCCTTCTCTGTGTACACCATCAAATAGGGCTTGGAGGTAGAGAAAGGTGACATGAAGGGGTAACATGACTCCCAGTCAGAATTTCTCATCCCTTTTTTTCTTTTCTTTCTTGTTTTTTCCTCCGGCAGATTGAGACCCTCTTTGCATGCAATGTCATTCATTTGACCTCCTCCTTTGTAGGATGGAAGGCTGACAGTTTGTCAGCTGACCTGAGCTGGAGAGCGGGATGATCTCCTAGCCCCCGGTCTTTGTGGGCTTAAAATCAGCTGCTGGAGCAAAGGAATAATCTCCCCGTCGGGGAATCGAACCCCGGTCTTCCGCGTGACAGGCGGAGATACTGTCCACTATACTAACGAGGACTCACTTTCAGCGCGTGGAGCGCGGACATCGCTGAGTTCCCCGCTTGGAATGAACAGCCGCAACCATGGCAGGGCGCACGGAAATGATGTCGAAGAGAGAGCTACAGTCGCAGCTGCAGCTTGCGGACTCCGTCCTATGGACAGATAGCACGGCTGTTCTTAAGAACATCAACAATGAAACAACTAGGTTCCGCACATTCGTTGCCAACAGAGTGTCAGAAATAATGACAGTGTCAATCGTGGCAACAGATGACAGACAAGATGCAATGGAGCAACTTATAGAGCACTACTTCCCATGGACACCCCGTTTCATTGCAAGAAGAAGTCAAGTTATGGAACTGCGTTCAGAACCCACGACAATCGAAAAACTGTTTGTTAGCATCTGAAATCTTGGCATTTGGAAAGCAGGTGATTTGGGCGCTGCGTACCCATCCCGCATGTCCCGTGAGTTTCCGTAGTGTAGTGGTTATCACGTTCGCCTCACACGCGAAAGGTCCCCGGTTCGAAACCGGGCGGAAACAACTTGATGTCCCCTCCTGTTTAACTCAGATATCAATGGTGGCGCACTTAAACCCGCCTTAATACTGAGTTCAAGGAGCTGATAGAAATTTTGTTATCAGAGGCCCTCCCATAACATACTAATAACATTCCCAAATACCATTTTAGCAGGCCCGGCTTAAAGGCAAGGAATCCATCACCTGTCCTTCTCTGTGTACACCATCAAAAAGGGCTTGGAGGTAGAGAAAGGTGACATGAAGGGGTAACATGACTCCCAGTCAGAATTTCTCATCCCTTTTTTTCTTTTCTTTCTTGTTTTTTCCTCCGGCAGATTGAGACCCTCTTTGCATGCAATCTCATTCATTTGACCTCCTCCTTTGTAGGATAGAAGGCTGACAGTTTGTCAGCTGACCTGGGCTGGAGAGCGGGTTGATCTCCTAGCCCCCGGTCTTTGTGGGCTTAAAATCAGCTGCTGGAGCAAAGGAATAATCTCCCCGTCGGGGAATCGAACCCCGGTCTTCCGCGTGACAGGCGGAGATACTGTCCACTATACTAACGAGGACTCACTTTCAGCGCGTGGAGCGCGGACATCGCTGAGTTCCCCGCTTGGAATGAACAGCCGCAACCATGGCAGGGCGCACGGAAATGATGTCGAAGAGAGAGCTACAGTCGCAGCTGCAGCTTGCGGACTCCGTCCTATGGACAGATAGCACGGCTGTTCTTAAGAACATCAACAATGAAACAACTAGGTTCCGCACATTCGTTGCCAACAGAGTGTCAGAAATAATGACAGTGTCAATCGTGGCAACAGATGACAGACAAGATGCAATGGAGCAACTTATAGAGCACTACTTCCCATGGACACCCCGTTTCATTGCAAGAAGAAGTCAAGTTATGGAACTGCGTTCAGAACCCACGACAATCGAAAAACTGTTTGTTAGCATCTGAAATCTTGGCATTTGGAAAGCAGGTGATTTGGGCGCTGCGTACCCTTCCCGCATGTCCCGTGAGTTTCTGTAGTCTAGTGGTTATCACGTTCGCCTCACACGCGAAAGGTCCCCGGTTCGAAACCGGGCGGCAACAGCTTGATGTCCCCTCCTGTTCGACTCAGACGCTCAATGGTGGCTCACTTAAACCCGCCTTAATACTGAGTTCAAGGAGCTGATAGAAATTTTGTTATCAGAGGCCCTCCCATAACATACTAATAACATTCCCAAATACCATTTTAGCAGGCCCGGCTTAAAGGCAAGGAATCCATCACCTGTCCTTCTCTGTGTACACCATCAAATAGGGCTTGGAGGTAGAGAAAGGTGACATGAAGGGGTAACATGACTCCCAGTCAGAATTTCTCATCCCTTTTTTCTTTTCTTTCTTGTTTTTTCCTCCGGCAGATTGAGACCCTCTTTGCATGCAATCTCATTCATTTGACCTCCTCCTTTGTAGGATGGAAGGCTGACAGTTTGTCAGCTGACCTGGGCAGGAGAGCGGGATGATCTCCTAGCCCCCGGTCTTTGTGGGCTTAAAATCAGCTGCTGGAGCAAAGGAATAATCTCCCCGTCGGGGAATCGAACCCCGGTCTTCCGCGTGACAGGCGGAGATACTGTCCACTATAGTAACGAGGACTCACGTGTTGCCACTTTCAGCGCGTGGAGCGCGGACATCGCTGAGTTCCCCGCTTGGAATGAACAGCCGCAACCATGGCAGGGCGCACGGAAATGATGTCGAAGAGAGAGCTACAGTCGCAGCTGCAGCTTGCGGACTCCGTCCTATGGACAGATAGCACGGCTGTTCTTAAGAACATCAACAATGAAACAACTAGGTTCCGCACATTCGTTGCCAACAGAGTGTCAGAAATTATGACAGTGTCAATCGTGGCAACAGATGACAGACAAGATGCAATGGAGCAACTTATAGAGCACTACTTCCCATGGACACTCCGTTTCATTGCAAGAAGAAGTCAAGTTATGGAACTGCGTTCAGAACCCACGACAATCGAAAAACTGTTTGTTAGCATCTGAAATCTTGGCATTTGGAAAGCAGGTGATTTGGGCACTGCGTACCCTTCCCGCATGTCCCGTGAGTTTCCGTAGTGTAGTGGTTATCACGTTCGCCTCACACGCGAAAGGTCCCCGGTTCGAAACCGGGCGGAAACAGCTTGATGTCCCCTCCTGTTCGACTCAGACGCTCAATGGTGGCTCATTTAAACCCGCCTTAATACTGAGTTCAAGGAGCTGATAGAAATTTTGTTATCAGAGGCCCTCCCATAACATACTAATAACATTCCCAAATACCATTTTAGCAGGCCCGGCTTAAAGGCAAGGAATCCATCACCTGTCCTTCTCTGTGTACACCATCAAATAGGGCTTGGAGGTAGAGAAAGGTGACATGAAGGGGTAACATGACTCCCAGTCAGAATTTCTCATCCCTTTTTTTCTTTTCTTTCTTGTTTTTTCCTCCGGCAGATTGAGGTCCTCTTTGCATGCAATCTCATTCATTTGACCTCCTCCTTTGTAGGATGGAAGGCTGACAGTTTGTCAGCTGACCTGGGCTGGACAGCGGGTTGATCTCCTAGCCCCCGGTCTTTGTGGGCTTAAAATCAGCTGCTGGAGCAAAGGAATAATCTCCCCGTCGGGGAATCGAACCCGGTCTTCCGCATGACAGGCGGAGATACTGTCCACTATAATAACGAGGACTCACGTGTTGCCACTTTCAACGCGTGGAGCGCGGACATTGCTGAGTTCCCCGCTTGGAATGAACAGCCGCAACCATGGCAGGGCGCACGGAAATGATGTCGAAGAGAGAGCTACAGTCGCAGCTGCAGCTTGCGGACTCCGTCCTATGGACAGATAGCACGGCTGTTCTTAAGAACATCAACAATGAAACAACTAGGTTCCGCACATTCGTTGCCAACAGAGTGTCAGAAATAATGACAGTGTCAATCGTGGCAACAGATGACAGACAAGATGCAATGGAGCAACTTATAGAGCACTACTTCCCATGGACACTCCGTTTCATTGCAAGAAGAAGTCAAGTTATGGAACTGCGTTCAGAACCCAAGACAATCGAAAAACTGTTTGTTAGCATCTGAAATCTTTGCATTTGGAAAGCAGGTGAGTTGGGCACTGCGTACCCTTCCCGCATGTCCCGTGAGTTTCCGTAGTGTAGTGGTTATCACGTTCGCCTCACACGCGAAAGGTCCCCGGTTCGAAACCGGGCGGAAACAGCTTGATGTCCCCTCCTGTTCGACTCAGACGCTCAATGGTGGCTCATTTAAACCCGCCTTAATACTGAGTTCAAGGAGCTGATAGAAATTTTGTTATCAGAGGCCCTCCCATAACATACTAATAACATTCCCAAATACCATTTTAGCAGGCCCGGCTTAAAGGCAAGGAATCCATCACCTGTCCTTCTCTGTGTACACCATCAAATAGGGCTTGGAGGTAGAGAAAGGTGACATGAAGGGGTAACATGACTCCCAGTCAGAATTTCTCATCCCTTTTTTTCTTTTCTTTCTTGTTTTTTCCTCCGGCAGATTGAGGTCCTCTTTGCATGCAATCTCATTCATTTGACCTCCTCCTTTGTAGGATGGAAGGCTGACAGTTTGTCAGCTGACCTGAGCTGGAGAGCGGGATGATCTCCTAGCCCCCGGTCTTTGTGGGCTTAAAATCAGCTGCTGGAGCAAAGGAATAATCTCCCCGTCGGGGAATCGAACCCCGGTCTTCCGCGTGACAGGCGGAGATACTGTCCACTATACTAACGAGGACTCACTTTCAGCGCGTGGAGCGCGGACATCGCTGAGTTCCCCGCTTGGAATGAACAGCCGCAACCATGGCAGGGCGCACGGAAATGATGTCGAAGAGAGAGCTACAGTCGCAGCTGCAGCTTGCGGACTCCGTCCTATGGACAGATAGCACGGCTGTTCTTAAGAACATCAACAATGAAACAACTAGGTTCCGCACATTCGTTGCCAACAGAGTGTCAGAAATAATGACAGTGTCAATCGTGGCAACAGATGACAGACAAGATGCAATGGAGCAACTTATAGAGCACTACTTCCCATGGACACCCCGTTTCATTGCAAGAAGAAGTCAAGTTATGGAACTGCGTTCAGAACCCACGACAATCGAAAAACTGTTTGTTAGCATCTGAAATCTTGGCATTTGGAAAGCAGGTGATTTGGGCGCTGCGTACCCATCCCGCATGTCCCGTGAGTTTCTGTAGTCTAGTGGTTATCACGTTCGCCTCACACGCGAAAGGTCCCCGGTTCGAAACCGGGCGGCAACAGCTTGATGTCCCCTCCTGTTCGACTCAGACGCTCAATGGTGGCGCACTTAAACCCGCCTTAATACTGAGTTCAAGGAGCTGATAGAAATTTTGTTATCAGAGGCCCTCCCATAACATACTAATAACATTCCCAAATACCATTTTAGCAGGCCCGGCTTAAAGGCAAGGAATCCATCACCTGTCCTTCTCTGTGTACACCATCAAATAGGGCTTGGAGGTAGAGAAAGGTGACATGAAGGGGTAACATGACTCCCAGTCAGAATTTCTCATCCCTTTTTTTCTTTTCTTTCTTGTTTTTTCCTCCGGCAGATTGAGACCCTCTTTGCATGCAATCTCATTCATTTGACCTCCTCCTTTGTAGGATGGAAGGCTGACAGTTTGTCAGCTGACCTGGGCAGGAGAGCGGGATGATCTCCTAGCCCCCGGTCTTTGTGGGCATAAAATCAGCTGCTGGAGCAAAGGAATAATCTCCCCGTCGGGGAATCGAACCCCGGTCTTCCACGTGACAGGCGGAGATACTGTCCACTATACTAACGAGAACTCATGTGTTGCCACTTTCAGCGCGTGGAGCGCGGACATCGCTGAGTTCCCCGCTTGGAATGAACAGCCGCAACCATGGCAGGGCGCACGGAAATGATGTTGAAGAGAGAGCTACAGTCGCAGCTGCAGCTTGCGGACTCCGTCCTATGGACAGATAGCACGGCTGTTCTTAAGAACATCAACAATGAAACAACTAGGTTCCGCACATTCGTTGCCAACAGAGTGTCAGAAATAATGACAGTGTCAATCGTGGCAACAGATGACAGACAAGATGCAATGGAGCAACTTATAGAGCACTACTTCCCATGGACACCCCGTTTCATTGCAAGAAGAAGTCAAGTTATGGAACTGCGTTCAGAACCCACGACAATCGAAAAACTGTTTGTTAGCATCTGAAATCTTGGCATTTGGAAAGCAGGTGATTTGGGCACTGCGTACCCTTCCCGCATGTCCCGTGAGTTTCCGTAGTGTAGTGGTTATCACGTTCGCCTCACACGCGAAAGGTCCCCGGTTCGAAACCGGGCGGAAACAGCTTGATGTCCCCTCCTGTTCGACTCAGACGCTCAATGGTGGCTCATTTAAACCCGCCTTAATACTGAGTTCAAGGAGCTGATAGAAATTTTGTTATCAGAGGCCCTCCCATAACATACTAATAACATTCCCAAATACCATTTTAGCAGGCCCGGCTTAAAGGCAAGGAATCCATCACCTGTCCTTCTCTGTGTACACCATCAAATAGGGCTTGGAGGTAGAGAAAGGTGACATGAAGGGGTAACATGACTCCCAGTCAGAATTTCTCATCCCTTTTTTTCTTTTCTTTCTTGTTTTTTCCTCCGGCAGATTGAGGTCCTCTTTGCATGCAATCTCATTCATTTGACCTCCTCCTTTGTAGGATGGAAGGCTGACAGTTTGTCAGCTGACCTGGGCTGGAGAGCGGGATGATCTCCTAGCCCCCGGTCTTTGTGGGCTTAAAATCAGCTGCTGGAGCAAATGAATAATCTCCCCGTCGGGGAATCGAACCCGGTCTTCCGCGTGACAGGCGGAGATACTGTCCAATATAGTAACGAGGACTCACGTGTTGCCACTTTCAGCGCGTGGAGCGCGGACATCGCTGAGTTCCCCGCTTGGAATGAACAGCCGCAACCATGGCAGGGCGCACGGAAATGATGTCGAAGAGAGAGCTACAGTCGCAGCTGCAGCTTGCGGACTCCGTCCTATGGACAGATAGCACGGCTGTTCTTAAGAACATCAACAATGAAACAACTAGGTTCCGCACATTCGTTGCCAACAGAGTGTCAGAAATAATGACAGTGTCAATCGTGGCAACAGATGACAGACAAGATGCAATGGAGCAACTTATAGAGCACTACTTCCCATGGACACTCCGTTTCATTGCAAGAAGAAGTCAAGTTATGGAACTGCGTTCAGAACCCACGACAATCGAAAAACTGTTTGTTAGCATCTGAAATCTTTGCATTTGGAAAGCAGGTGAGTTGGGCACTGCGTACCCTTCCCATGTCCCGTGAGTTTCCGTAGTGTAGTGGTTATCACGTTCGCCTCACACGCGAAAGGTCCCCGGTTCGAAACCGGGCGGAAACAGCTTGACGTCCCCTCCTGTTCGACTCAGACGCTCAATGGTGGCTCACTTAAACCCGCCTTAATACTGAGTTCAAGGAGCTGATAGAAATTTTGTTATCAGAGGCCCTCCCATAACATACTAATAACATTCCCAAATACCATTTTAGCAGGCCCGGCTTAAAGGCAAGGAATCCATCACCTGTCCTTCTCTGTGTACACCATCAAATAGGGCTTGGAGGTAGAGAAAGGTGACATGAAGGGGTAACATGACTCCCAGTCAGAATTTCTCATCCCTTTTTTTCTTTTCTTTCTTGTTTTTCCTCCGGCAGATTGAGACCCTCTTTGCATGCAATCTCATTCATTTGACCTCCTCCTTTGTAGGATGGAAGGCTGACAGTTTGTCAGCTGACCTGGGCTGGAGAGCGGGTTGATCTCCTAGCCCCCGGTCTTTGTGGGCTTAAAATCAGCTGCTGGAGCAAAGGAATAATCTCCCCGTCGGGGAATCGAACCCGGTCTTCCGCATGACAGGCGGAGATACTGTCCACTATAATGAGGACTCACGTGTTGCCACTTTCAACGCGTGGAGCGCGGACATCGCTGAGCTCCCCGCTTGGAATGAACAGCCGCAACCATGGCAGGGCGCACGGAAATGATGTCGAAGAGAGAGCTACAGTCGCAGCTGCAGCTTGCGGACTCCGTCCTATGGACAGATAGCACGGCTGTTCTTAAGAACATCAACAATGAAACAACTAGGTTCCGCACATTCGTTGCCAACAGAGTGTCAGAAATAATGACAGTGTCAATCGTGGCAACAGATGACAGACAAGATGCAATGGAGCAACTTATAGAGCACTACTTCCCATGGACACTCCGTTTCATTGCAAGAAGAAGTCAAGTTATGGAACTGCGTTCAGAACCCACGACAATCGAAAAACTGTTTGTTAGCATCTGAAATCTTGGCATTTGGAAAGCAGGTGATTTGGGCGCTGCGTACCCATCCCGCATGTCCCGTGAGTTTCCGTAGTGTAGTGGTTATCACGTTCGCCTAACACGCGAAAGGTCCCCGGTCCGAAACCGGGCGGAAACAGCTTGATGTCCCCTCCTGTTCGACTCAGACGCTCAATGGTGGCTCACTTAAACCCGCCTTAATACTGAGTTCAAGGAGCTGATAGAAATTTTGTTATCAGAGGCCCTCCCATAACATACTAATAACATTCCCAAATACCATTTTAGCAGGCCCGGCTTAAAGGCAAGGAATCCATCACCTGTCCTTCTCTGTGTACACCATCAAATAGGGCTTGGAGGTAGAGAAAGGTGACATGAAGGGGTAACATGACTCCCAGTCAGAATTTCTCATCCCTTTTTTTCTTTTCTTTCTTGTTTTTTCCTCCGGCAGATTGAGGTCCTCTTTGCATGCAATCTCATTCATTTGACCTCCTCCTTTGTAGGATGGAAGGCTGACAGTTTGTCAGCTGACCTGGGCTGGAGAGCGGGATGATCTCCTAGCCCCCGGTCTTTGTGGGCTTAAAATCAGCTGCTGGAGCAAAGGAATAATCTCCCCGTCGGGGAATCGAACCCCGGTCTTCCGCATGACAGGCGGAGATACTGTCCACTATACTAACGAGGACTCACTTTCAGCGCGTGGAGCGCGGACATCGCTGAGTTCCCCGCTTGGAATGAACAGCCGCAACCATGGCAGGGCGCACGGAAATGATGTCGAAGAGAGAGCTACAGTCGCAGCTGCAGCTTGCGGACTCCGTCCTATGGACAGATAGCACGGCTGTTCTTAAGAACATCAACAATGAAACAACTAGGTTCCGCACATTCGTTGCCAACAGAGTGTCAGAAATAATGACAGTGTCAATCGTGGCAACAGATGACAGACAAGATGCAATGGAGCAACTTATAGAGCACTACTTCCCATGGACACTCCGTTTCATTGCAAGAAGAAGTCAAGTTATGGAACTGCGTTCAGAACCCACGACAATCGAAAAACTGTTTGTTAGCATCTGAAATCTTGGCATTTGGAAAGCAGGTGATTTGGGCGCTGCGTACCCATCCCGCATGTCCCGTGAGTTTCCGTAGTGTAGTGGTTATCACGTTCGCCTAACACGCGAAAGGTCCCCGGTTCGAAACCGGGCGGAAACAGCTTGATGTCCCCTCCTGTTCGACTCAGACGCTCAATGTTGGCTCACTTGAACCCGCCTTAATACTGAGTTCAAGGAGCTGATAGAAATTTTGTTATCAGAGGCCCTCCCATAACATACTTATAACATTCCCAAATACCATTTTAGC